TTTTACCAGCTGCTCCTCAGACAAAGGACTATCATCTAGAATATATAAAGAAATATATACTCAAAAAATCAGGCCCCCAAATATAAAGACCCGATTCAAAAATGGGCATCTGAAATGAATAGACATTTCTCAGACAAAAAAGTAAAAGCAGCAAGTAAATATATGAAAAAATGTTCCACATCACTGGTAATTTGAGAGATGCAGATGAAAACAACACTGAGATTCCACCTCACCCCACAAAGAATGGCTGCTATCAAGAAATCAAACAGTAACAAATGTTGGCAGGGTTGTGGGGAGAAAGGAACCCTTCCCCATTGTTGGTGGTAGTGCAGACTGGTGCAACTACTGTGGAAATCAATATGGAGATAGCTCAAAGAGTTGGGGTTAGAGGTTCCATTTGACCCAGCCATCCCTCTGTTGGTTATCTTTCCAAAAGAATTAAAAGAATCATATCATAGTGACATATGCACACCTATATTTATAGCAACACAGTTTGTAATAGGTAAAACTTGGAAACAGCCCAACTGCCCATCAGTTGGAGACTGGATAAAGAAGATGTGGATTTCCTATAAAATGGAATACTACTCAGCCATAAAAAATGAGAAATTAGAGTCATGCATAGAAAAATGAATATATATTGAGGATATACTCCTAAGTGAAATAAATAAGTCACACAGGTATAAATACCAAATAGTTTCTTTGGTGTGAAAAACTATAATGGTACATAAGATCCTAATGATATAATTGACAATGTGAAATAGGAAGAAAAGGGCTAAAGGTATAGGGAAAGTGGAAAGGGTAGGGGAAAGGAAATAAGGGAAAAGAAAAAGACATGAGAAAATGAAAAAATGGAAATAAAGTATTTGTAAAAAGAGAAGGGAGGAGGGGGTGAAGGGAGGGCAGGGACAAGGGGAAAAAATGAGAACCAAGACCTGTCGTGTAGAGGTACAAGATCCCAACGATGAATGTAACTGTGCTGTATACCTAAAATGTACCAATAAACTCAACGAGAAAAAAAGAAAACAAACAAAACAAAACCATACTGCTCAAAATTACTTGAGAATAAACTAAGGAAAGTAGATAAATTAAGTTTGGTATCAAATTAAGTTTGCTAACATTTGGATTTAGTGTAATGACAGTTATACTATCGATCATTATATTTATTATACATTTGAAAATTCCAATACTCAAATTGTTTTTATAAATTCCATTTTAGTAGGAAAGAGTTAAACTATAAAAGAAAAATAAAACACATTTTACATTAATCTCACATTCAACCAGTTTTCAGAAAGTACAACAAAAATGCATACAAAAGGAAAACCTCACTTACTACTCAAGAAAAATGTAAATAATCCAAGTTAGAGGCAGCCTGAAAAGTATGATTCTTAAAGTATTCTTTATTAAGATCATTAAAAGTTGTAGAAACAACTTTCTATTATAAAGGCACAGGGAGACAGTTCTGATAAAATATTCAAATTAAACAGTAACTTACAGTACAAAAGACAATTTTAATGCACATACAAACCCCAAATGTCTGATTCAAAAATATTTTACTGCGTCTATTAATGGGCAATGATTAAAAATATAAATTGCTGCTGTATAATAAATATCTAATAGTGAATATCTTGATAGCAAAGTGAACAAAATATTTATTGCTTTTCACATACATATTTTCCCTGTAATTTTAAATACCTAATTCTTTTACTATCTTCTCAATGTTTTCTAGAGTTAAAGAAATTCCTCATAATCTCATGGGGGAAAATGGTAGTTACAAAATACTACCTCATAGTAGCAATCACTGCTGGCAGTGTTTTCTCACTTCCTATTATGTAATCACAATTAAACCACTCATCCAAAAGGTAAATACAAGTTAGCTAAACCATTCTAAGGTTTGTAATGCATATTTATCAAATATAAAAGATGTCCCATTGTAAAATTATATATTTTATTTGTAGTTTTAAGAGGTGAATGCTGGACAAGTGATTTTTCCTACTCTCTTCAAAATCTTTCCAAACTTGTAAAAAGTCATCTTAGAAAAATTCTTCAGCACTTAAATGTTTCGAGAGCTATGCAATGAACTGATATATAAAAATTAACATAATGAAATCTACCTTATAAGGGGAATCTCTTACAGCTTTATTAATTTTCATGTTTCTTTTTGCAGCAACCAAATTTCAGATGGTACAAATAGAATTTTCATCACAATAGTCAAATAATGTGGACACATCATAATTTCAACTTAAGACATAGCTACATTAAAATATTTGATAAAGTTACTTAACTACATGTCATGTTTAGTGTATAGCAGCTACTAATGTGCCTAGCACAAAGTCAATGCTCAATAAATAGTCAATGAATGAATGAAAAAGAAAAAATTGGCTTTGGTTGTACATATTTTAATTATTTTCTGATTTAGGTAAGATCAGTCTAGAACTACTGCACACTATACCAAACTCTGCTGTAAACATGAGTAATAACTTTGAACAGAAAAATATTACATGTTATAGTCAGAATAACTTTTTAAATAGCCTACAAATTTCACACATTTGTTAATTTTTATCCATATGCTTAAATTTGATATATTGATGTCTAGCATTTGGGTAAAGAAGACCCTACTGGGCAGACTGACTGTCTTATTTACCATAAAAATTATTAGCTCATTAATAAATAAAAGGTTCTGATGCCTAATTAAACTCAATGACTACCATATGTTGCAAAACTATCAGTTAATAAAAGTGTAAAATACTGTTAAGTCACATATTCTTGAAAGCAGTAGCTTGTTTTAAAGAATAACCAAGATTTAAATATAATAATGACAGAACTAAAATATTGGGAGTAGGGTAATAAGGATAAGAAGAAGACCAACTCTATTTTAAATTCTAAACATTGGACTAGGTCTAATATTTCTTTGGCATATGCATTACTATCTTGGATTAGTTAGCATTTTAAAAATACTAGGTTATATTTTTTTCTGAACCAAAGTAGATTACTACTGCCCTCTTTTTAAAGCCTTCAGTAAAGGATGAAGTGACATTTTGTAACGTATGTTGAACTTCATGTTCAATGTACATTTATAACTAATGGCATAGAAGGATGCAACTCTTTAAACAACCCGAAATGATGTCATGCAATGGTGAAACCACAGAAGGCAGGGGGAAAGTATGTACACAATAAAATATTCAGCTTTCTGAAAAAAACACAATAAAGTTGGGAATCCTGCCCTAACAGTAAAATGTACCGCATAGCACTGAATGAAAACTAGCTAAAACTTAAATGAACACCTCCTATAACCTGAATGTGTAATATTTAATTTTTTTAAAAATGTAAAATGGGGGGGGGAACCTTATATATCAGAAGAAATAAGTGGCCTATAAAACAGGCCAATCTAAGTTGACATTCAAAGAAAATGCAAGAGATTCACAAAATCATGATAGTAATGCAAACTAAGTTACCAACTACCCTTTGATACACAAGCCAATGTAACTATCAGATTCATTTCCAATAGCTTAACAATATTCACCAATCCACTCAGGCATAGGGGAAGGGTAAAGCAGTTACTGATAACTCAAGTCTCCAAAGTATTTATTTGCAGAAGCATAATGTGAATTTTGTAGCAATGTCTTATTTTGATGGATGTTAATGTAAGATATATCAGTGCAAGTTTAGCATCCTCTGGATATAACACTTCCATATTCCATTTTTCCAGATAGTTTCTGGTGTTTTAGTTTTGCCAGTGCTATTTAAATGGAGAAAAGAAAAAAACGTTCACCTTAGACTACCTGACATTATTACTTAATTGTGCCAGATATTCCCGCAGCTCCTTTGCTGCCTGGAATCTGCCATAGCGTTTCTTTGGGTTGGCACATTCATCCAGTAAGGCCTCGAGTCGGCCATCTTTGGCAATTTCACTTGGTGGATCATGAAGAAGTCCTCCAGATGTGCCACGCCAGGTGGCACGTCTGGATAAGAGGTTTTGACAAACAGCATAATAATTGTGGTCCACAGTGACACGAGCACAAAGAATTTCTTTTGAAAATGATAAGCAAGCTTCCTTATCACAGTCATCAAATTTACTTTCATACCATACATCCCAATTTTCAGGTTTATCTGTAAAAGAGGGAAAAACAGAAAGAAGAAAAATAATTTTCAAATAAGAGTTCTCACTGCTTCCAAAAATAGAACATTTTATAACTAACAAAGTATTTGTTCTATACTACTATGCATTAAAGTACGTTAAAAATTTAAACATTACATATAGTAATTCACATAACTTATTCACTGGGAGTCCCATCAGTAACAGGATGAATCAGACAAATTTCTTACCACTTACAGGTTTAGTCTATTGATTTATCATCATACATAGAATCATAAACTATGACACAATACTAGAATACTAAAAGATTTAGCACTTCTGCCTTGAGCTACAGAGGGCTGCACAGAGGCATCCAGCCGATTTTAGGTCTTAAAACAAGTCAGAAAAGCAATGAAGGAAAACAGCTTTCTAGGTACAGGCATGCATTTAAGAGATTGGTGCAGTGGTTGAGGAAACAATGAGAAATTCATTGTGGCTAGACAGTGAGACTAGGTACGGAGATATGGTAAAGAAAAGGTTAGAGAACCAAGCTATAACTTGCAGAATCATGACCATAATTTGTTTTCTAGAAAGATAATTGGGTTAAAGGCTGAAAGGACTGACATGACAGGAGAAACCAATAAAAGTTAGAAAAACTCGAATGGAGAAACATTTGAGACAAAAATCAATAGGTAAGAGTACGGGTATAAAGGTTCTAGCTGGAGGACAATACAGGTATTAATAACATATGTATCAATATTTTATAATACAAATAAAATAACAAGATATTTAAGTGGGTATGTCACACATGTAAGTTGAATGAGACTTGAAACTTACAACTTTAAGGTTAGAAATATAACACCATATTTAAAACACTATCATGCATGTGTTTGATGGAGCCAAGACTCAAAGGATAAGTATCTAGCTATACTGTATATTTAAGGGAGATGGGACATTTTAGGCAGAGGAAAAGGCAGTAGGGGAAGCCCAGAAGTAGAAAGATTCACTCAAGAGGACAAGGACAAAGGGCTACTAAATCAAGCAGTATGGGGTCAAGGCATAGAGATTGTCCTTGATAAGGAATTTGGATTTTACCTGAAGAACAATAAGTCATTAAAATTATTTAAGCAAGTGAAAGATAAGAGATGATCTGTGTTTTTAAGAAGTGATTATCCTAGTAGAAGGAAGATAAAGAGCGAAAGAATTTCAAGTTGTTATTAATCAAGATTCATTTTCTGAACTAGTCAAGGAAGCACATGTTTAGAATTTCCACCATCTGAGAAGGTCCTGAGCCTGAGGCAAACCTGGGTAATTTTGCGAGAGCCTGTCTTGAGAATTAAAAGGGCCAAAATAGGAGGTTGAGGTGAGAAGGTCTTGAGCCTGAGGCAAACCTGGGTAATTTTGCGAGAGCCTGTCTTGAGAATTAAAAGGGCCAAAATGTAGCTCAGTGGTAGAGCACTGTAACAAGGACCTGTATGGCACCCCCCAAAAAAAAGTCACTTTCCTATTTACTGATTAGGTATTTTACGTATTTCTTAATGGCAAAGCAGCTATATGAATTAGGTTCTAACAAGTTAAATCAATGGATTCCATATTGAGTGAGGCAAAGTACAAACAAAGAAAATCATAAAGGATGCATAGAAAGGGATAAAGGGACAGATCTCTATAGGGAAATGGTCCAAGGGAACAAAGGTGAGGAGTGAAGAGAGGAAGGGAAAATAAGAATAAAAATGTGCCAGGTACAAGAACCTAATAGGCCCAGGCAATATAAACACTGTATGCCACAACATGAGCTAAGACAAATAATATTAACAAGTATGAAAAAGGGGTTAGGGGAAATGGACGCGGGGGAGGGATTAAAAAAAGAAATAAGCTGTAAAATGTACATGGAACCATTTCCCCAAGATGACTGTAAACATGCACTACAAACATGTACTAATGCAATAAAAAATATATTAAGAAACTTTCAAAAAAATGGAGACTGACAGACATACATAAATCAGCAATATTTTTAAAGAAAAACAGGAAGAGTTCTTGTATGTAACTTATTTATGGGAAAGGGAAAGAAACAAAATTAACTTGAGTGGGAAGCTGAAGATAAGTAATACAAGTTCTAAAAGAAAAGATCTACTGTCTAAAAAAGAAAAGTGATAACGGGAAGTGATAAAGGGAGTTGCCACAGCTAAAACTCCATTTCGTTATAAAGAAATAAAGTTCATTTTCCAGAAAATGGAAAGAAAAAAGGACAAATAAAGATCTTTTGCAAAATGGATAGTTTCAGGGTCCTATTGTGAAACATTTGAGAAGAGGTGACCAGAGTTAAGTAGCACTGGAGCAATGCTTCTGTATGAAATGCAAACATATAGAAGATATATAGTTGGATTCATCTAAAGTCAAGAAATAGTTACTGTAAAATTTATTCTAGGAATATCTGTACAATGCAAAATACAAAATAAATTAGAAACACTGAAATTAAAATTTGAAAAGTTTAGGCAAACTGTAAAAACTATGAATACACTAAAATCCATTGACCTGTACATTTTTTAGAAAGAAAAGCAAAGTGTAAGCTGAAACAACATTCCCAGAAGTATGAAGAAGTAAATGGGAAGTGGGATACTCCAGTAGGGTATCCATTCTCTATGTGAAGCTCTTCACAGTAATTCAAGAAATAGCACCTTTCAAGGATGAGCAAAAAATTAAAATGTGCCATGAGAAAAATCAAACACTTAACAGGATAATGCTAAGATCATGCCAAGCTGTCAACACAATATATTACTGTCATATTAGATGCACTCAGGCACCACAAATATGCAATTTCTGTTAATGCAGCAATCCTTACTTTTGGTCTACCACGGGAGATAATAGGATGGGATTCAAAATGTAAAAGTCAATATGGAATAACAACCCTTCTTTCTCTAAACAAACTGGTTCTAGATTATGGGCTTTAATCCTATGACATTTAATTTTCAAAACACTTCACATATTCTGCCTATTTATCCTGTGGAGAACTCAGAAATAAAGGGAGAGCAAAGTTTTGGGTGAAATGAAATAATCAGAATATCAAACTAAATTCAGATCTTCAGTGCTAGGAATCATCCAAATAGTCAAAAACAAAACAAAACCATCACTGTAGGATCCCCAGAGAAGAAAACACAGAATATCACTGTAAGAGACCCCATTGAAACATGAAGTCTCTCTGGTAACCTCTAATAATACAAACTTTATAGACTTATAATCCACAGAATATAGCATACAGTATGTGAAAGACATGTATATACACACACACACAGTATATTTGTATTCATTTGAACCCAAAAGATATTTTACAAAACATTGAAAAACTAAGAGTGGAAGCTTAATAAATACATATTTGTTTGCTGATATTGGTTATATAAAGCAAAGAAAGATGCAAAGTTATTATCAAAGGAGTAAATGCAAGGCTTCAAATAAATATAAGTATCATTTAACACAGAAAAATGTGTACAGAAAATAAATCTAAAAGTTATATACTTACTTTGTCTAATTAATCTCTTGTCAGCAACCAAAACATTTTCAGCATCCACAATGATTACCTTCCCATCTCGAGGACCAACTGCAAAATTGTCAAAGCTGACATCCAGGAGGTAGAGCGCAAATTCAAAGTCATTGTTTGTAAGTTGCTCTGCTATTTCCATTAACTGCCAAGCAAGGTCAACTCTTTTCTCCCATGGTGCATTGAAATAACTCCACAGTTCTTCTCCAACATAATTGACAGCCACCATTCTTCCACATGCTCCAAGGTATTTTGCAAATGGCCAACCCTCATCCGAAGGAAAACTCTACAAAAGAATTATCTTAATATTATAAGAGATTCTGATAAAGGTGTCCTAGGTTTCTCTCAAGAGCCTCTCAGCAGAGTTTGCTACTAGAATGAGTCTGGATTTTTATGTTACAGTCAATAGTTCATTAGAGATAAATTTCATTTCTTCCCCAACTCTTACCATTACTATACATCCCTACAAATAAACACCGTGGTATCTTTGTATTATTTTTAATTGATTCTCAGAGGCACAGAGACACAAAAAACAATGAATAGCAAACTACTGGGGGAGAGGTGGCTGGAAAGAGTAGCAAGATACAAGGCAATCCAAACATCAGCATCTTTAACACAAAACAAACAAATATTGGGACAAAATTTTTCATGTCAAAATGTGTCCAGTACCAAATTCACACATTCATACAAGGAGTTTCAGACCATTCAACATCCAAGGTATGACTGTAACTTTATACTTTAAAAATTAAAAGATCAAACAAGTCTTGCATACCAAAATCTCAGAATAAAACTGATAAAAGGCAAGACGCTGTCTTTATTATCAAATCTAAAAGTTATGGTTTCTTATACCTTGATTCATGTAAATGAGATCAACTAGTCTCTACTTCTGAATATACAAGACTGCAGATCTACAAGCAAATATTTATCAGAACCAAGGTATTGTCCTATGCTAGTAGTAAGAGTGAATTAACAGTTTCTGTTTAACCACAGGTTTTTAATTTTAGGAGACCAGATACCAAATATAGCACTGTGAGTATGATGTCCGTTACTAAAATGTGGCAGAGGCCCATGACAGCATTTAATAGGTACCTGACCTACTTAGAAGTAGTCAGAGATAGAATTCAGGAAATTCTTGGGATTTTGAACTATATCCAAAACCTGAGAAAGAACTGATTCATCAATGCAACCTCTACTCCAAGCCTCAGGTTAGTTTTATTTTCCCTTCACTGACCATACCATTTTCTATTTTCACCGTGGCCCAACCCTAAAACTAATTATTCTAATGAGTTCTATAACTGAAACATGTAACTACAAAATGAGCACTGGAGAAAAAAAGGATAGGAGGTGATACTTTGAATGACTTTTGGGATAAGATCACAAGACCAGAAGTATATTTTGAGAGCTTTTCTTCAGGCCAGGAATCTTCCCTTAAACTGGAAAAAAAAGAAATTATGAGATGTTCATGAAACCATTAAAAGGGACTGGGAAGGCAGTATTAAGTATTATCTTATATCAAATCACTATAGAGTATAATTGTAGCCTACACCCACTATTAAAAATTAAATAATTTGCATACATTTAAACTACCAGACGTGAGGTTCTTTAAGTCTTAGGCAACATTAACTTTACCTTGAGCTTTAGCTGTCAAAACACAATACTATCATTATATTGAAATTTTTATAAACTTTGTAACAAAAAAAGATTTTCAAAACTTCATCCATAATTCCTGATTTCATTTGTGCTTCAATTTAACATTATCAATGCATAACAACCTTACTTGATCTTTGCATTGGTATCTTTTCAAATATTTACTATTTGCAGTTTTAGGATAAAATAAAAATTCTATGAAAATTTAGATACTATGAATCTTTACTTATGGTAAATTGAAAGAATTTTAATGCAGAGATCATAGCTATTAGAAATTAGAGACAAGCACATTTTTAATCTTGTGGTTGAGGATTTTTTTAATTTGGGGGGCATTACAAAAAGGTGCTCATGTTCAATGTGTAGGACACTGAAACTGATTTCTAACCACTTTTTTTATATTTTCCTGCCAAATTAAAATACACTGACAGTAAATGATTACAAAAGATTCAACTATTTTATAGAAGTGTTCATTTAGAAAGTCCCTGATATAAAAGGTAAAAACACCAAGAATAAGTAAATATGAGAAGTTACATAACTGTGCCATGAAAAAATAAAACAAAACACTCCTCCATACACTATAGGTATATTATTCACAGGCCATATTGTAGAACAGATACAAACATATCTTTGTGAAAATAAAATGGTCTTTGACAACAGGAGAAAGGGGAATCCTGCCAACATCTGCACATGTACAAATGCCTCCTTGTTTTTGGAGCCCTTCCAACTGGCAAGCAACAGTCAAATCTACACTTCATTACCCAAGTCCCCCACAGAAGAGGGTAAAATGCATGAACAAATGTCACAATGAACAACTTTATATGCATATAGTGATTTCTGACAATTTTAACTGAAATCCTGTTATGCTTCATTTTAAGAAGAGCACTACAATTCTTTCATATAGTTTGCTACCTAATCTTTTGGAAGAAATTTAATAAATAATTCATTTGCTCATATGACAATAATTTTTCACTGTATAGTAGTCAGGTTTCATTAGTGAGAATAGAATTATATTGAACACACAATAGTACACAAAAAAATGTTCAAAGGAAGCCAAAATATCATTTTCACTTGAAGCAAATGGTCATGCAGAGTTTGAGAGAGAAAACTTTTAGACATCAGAGCTGGGATTTGTTAAATGTATCAAGCAATATGAAAAACAAGTTCTTCCTGATTACTACACTCCCAAAAGGAATAAAGCATAGTGACTAGAATATGTAGCTTAATATAAAGGCCTATTTTATTTAAAACAAAAAAATTTAAAAACGAGAGTTTCACGTTGCCCAGCACAGTTTAATGTAATCTAAAATAATTTGATAGCTAAGATTGTACAAAGGCATACAACTGTTTGGTTCAGTACCCAGCACCACAAACACACACACACACAGGTAAGGAAATTAAGAGAAACAAGACATAGCTGATAAAATTAAATAAATATTACAAATAGCTTCATTATTAATTTCCAAAAATAAAACATATAATTATGAAACCTAATTATCAGATGTAGGCATCTCTTTTTTGGGAGAGGTAATATAACCCAAATAGTATGAATAATAATATTGTATGCACTAACAGTATCTTAAAACTAAAGTTTCAGAAGCAAGTAAACAAAACCACTGAAGTCATCTAGTTTAATAACAACAAAAAATTAAACAGAGGGGATATCTAATATACATAATTGATATTAAAGATTAGAAAATTCAGATATTTATATTCTTTACTAAATATAATATTTAACAAAATTTCTATATTTAAAGGATAGTATAGTACATTATATAAATAAATAATGGACTTAAAAATACAAGGCTAGATTTTGCTGGCCACCTCAATTATCTACATCTCACTTGCTATAATCTTGGTAAAGTATAACTTCTTGGTTTCTTCCTCTAAACCTGGGATAGTGCTTGTACCACCATATTTATCAGGTAATCTAATGCTCAAAGAAAAAAATGATATGACATAGCATATACTTTATAAATAACTGAACACCATAATGTAGACATTCATCAAATTGCACTTAAGTTCCTAACACCTACCAAAAGATGAATGACACTTTCCAAATATAATCAACTACTAAATTAAAGAAAGATCTTCACTGTTCTCTAATAATTTCTAATTTATAATGAGGTACAGAAGTAGTTACCAAAATTTAAAAAGATGTGGTTATAAGAATATACAGAGCATTCATAGTGATAATGCAAGAAATAAAAAACCTAGTAGCATATATACATATAAACATAGCACTTTTTGGTGTTTTTTACTTATTGTAAAAAAAAACTACAAATTCCAAATGCTGAAATAATCTATCACTACTTAAATCAAAACCCAATCATTATATTTTAATGATTAAAAAAGGGGAATGTGAATTCAAAAAAATATGGAGTTGGAGAGTACCTGAATGATAAATATAACCCAACCTTATTAGGACAGTGTTAATTTGCCTAAAGTCATATATGAAGTAAAAGCCAAAACCAGGGTAGCTATAATTCTTTTTTGCAAGAGTCAAAATGAATTAAAAAGACACACTTAGGCTGGGGATTTAGCTCAGTGGTTCTGCCGCCTGTCTCACAAGCAAAAGGACCTGGGTTCAATCCCTGGTACCAAAAAAAAAAAAAAAAAAAAAAAAAAAGACAGTCTCATTCAATCCAGTAAGAATTTTTTAGATTTTACAATGATATGCTACAGAGAAATACTCCACAAACAAACATGTTGCAAGAAGTGTGACATCATTTACCCCAGAAGGAGTGTACTAAGGCTGAGCCTAAAAGATGAGTAAAATAATAAGATTAGAAAAGGGAAGTAAGAGCATTCCACTCATGTGATAAAGTGAGAAACTGTCTTTACAGTAATGAAGAAAAAGACCAGTGAAGCTGCAGTGAAATGAATAAAGGAATGGTATAAAGTACTGGGGCCTGGAGAAGAGGTTTTGAGATCATATTGGGATTACAGAATAAAACACAAATTCTTCAAAATGGTCACTTCATGTTATGAAAACAAATATATGACAAAATTTTACAGTTCAGGACACCTTATGTACTGGAATCAAATACACGTTTATAAAATATCACAATATGACCCTTGATCAACAGTTGTCATCCTAATTAATAAGGTCATTTTATTCTAACATGTCATAGAAGCCATGAAAAAAGCAGACATGGATGTATGAATAAAAACGTGAGGGATGGGGATTTAGCTCAGAGGTGATACTACCTTGCAAGCGCAAGGTCCTGAGTTTGGTATATATCTTTTGGATTAGTTATTTTCAAACAATGAATGACATGAAATCGACAGATTAAAATAAGGTTAACTGTACTGTATCCCTAAAATGTACCAATAAACGCAATTAAAGCTGAAAATAAATAAGGTTAACTTTAAGAGTACTTGTGCTCTACTGTTCTTTTTTTCTTCTGTGATAAAAACTAGGGTTGGTAAACTAAATTTTAAAACTCAAAATTCCTTTCATACCTAAACATATATTTTATAATCATTGATTACCTCATAACATTCCGTTGAAAGGAAGATAACTTTTCAGTTCACCTAAAAAATAAATAAAATGAATACAGAACAAGAGATATGTTATCACTCAACAATGATTTTATTAAAAGTGAAGGAATCCCTAGCATATACAAACCTTTAAAAAAG